AAAAATGATCTAGACTAATCAGATAACGTGTGCAATTTATCTAAATAATTTTTGTAATGATATAAAAGATTTATCTTTATAATTACCAAAGCCTTAAATAAATTATCTAACAATATGTATCGATATTCTTGAGTGACATTAAATGAATATCTTAATTTTGTACAAATTATCTACATTATCTGCTTAACAAAAATTATGTTCCTGTATGAAAGACCCCTTAAAAGGGCTTTAGAATCCGTCCTAACTCTTTTGTAAATAATTTATTTTTATTGACCCCCTTTTTTGGTCCCGAAAAAAGGATTGCAATTTTGTTGACTTCCCAGTGTTGATTTTTTTTTAGCCATGAATAATCTTGTTCCATAAATTTCCTTAAAAAAATTATGTTTATGTTCTTGAATTTTATATGGCGACTAGTCGAGGGTTTTAAGATCCTTTCTTTATTTGCCCACCATATGGTTGGGCACAAACACTCTGTTACCCACACATGTGCATGCACACACCAACACACACTCACTCACAACCTGAGTGTTTGTTCGTTACATATAAATTCATTCATACATTTATTGGACTTTATTATTATTTTTTCTTGTTGTTGTTGTGATTATGATTATGGCGAGTAAAAAAAGTATGTAGTAGTAAAAGCTTTAGTAGTGCTATTACATATGTATGACACACACATGTACATATGTACCACCATAATGTGAAAGTACACATGTATGTAAGTATGTGTGTAATAAAAAAATAAACAAACATACAATGTAAATGTAAGTGTTTGCAAATATTCCACGCAATCACAGCGAATGCAAACATTTTTGTGTGAGAGTGTGTGTAGAATACACACAAACATACCCCTTATGCATGTATGAACGTGTGTGAATGCACACAAGACCTGCATACTGGAGGAGAAACCACATCTTCCACCGAAGGAAACACAGTACTTGAAACTTTACTTGGTAGAAGGACAAACAAGGACATAATATTTGTGCACTTTTTTTATTATCCTTGTAAACAAAATGGGAGTGGGAGGGGTTAGGAGTTCTGGTGAGTCATTTGCACCGATTGGCATCCATAAAAAAATAAAAGACAAAAAACAACGTTGACACTACTCCGGGATATGTTGGAAATCTTCCACGCCAGTTAATGGGCACAACAACCTCTGTCATTTGCACCGAAATTATCTTTGCAGATGGCTGCAGGATAAGGATGAAGATAATTCCATGAATGGCTCAAAGGATAATATGAGGAGTACAGTGACTCACTCGTTGGACAAAGAAAAGGATGTCACACTCGTTACAAAAAGCATGAAAAGAGAACAAAGGATGTCTGCTATTATCTGACGCACAAAGAAGATAACAAAAAATTATTCAAATAGTCTAGATAAATTATTCAGATAGTGGAGATAATTTATATACATTATGTAGATAATGTAAACATCAGATAATCAAAAATGCAGAACACGAACATGGACATTTTTCCAAATATCTAAATATCATAAAAATATATTATTTTGCTCTTTAAAAATATATAGATAATTTATCTAAGTTACACAACAATTAAAAAAAGTTGTCAAAATTTGTGTAGATTCTTTATCTATGTTACCTAAATGACTGAGGCAATGTGTTAAATTTATCTAAACATCATAGAAAATTTATCTAGGTTTTCTAAATGACATGCATACAATTTATCTGAACATGTATAATATGTATATGATAATGTAAAAAATGTATCTAAACATAGTAGATAATTTTTCTAGGTTATCTAAATGACGAAGATAATGTGTAAAATTTATCTGAACATTGTAGATAATTTATCTAGGTTACGCAAATGACTTAGATAATGTATAAAATTTATCTGAACATCGTAGGTAATTTATCTAGGTTATGTAAATGACGTGGATAATGTAAAAAAAATTATCTGAACATCGTTGATAATTTATGTGGGTTATCTAAATGGCATAGATAATGTATAAAATTTATCTGAACATTGTAGATAATTTATCTAGCTTATCTAAATAACGTATATAGGCATTTAGATCTTAATATTGTCTAATCCAAATGACGTAGATAATGTAAAAAAATTATCTGATTATCGTAGATAATTTATATAGGTTATCTAAATTACGTAGATAATGTATGCAATTTATATGAACATCGTAGATAATTTATCTAGGTTATCTAAATGACATGGTATAAAATTTATCTCAATATAGTAATAATTTATATAGGTTATCCACATAAAATTTATCTGAACATAATAGATAAATTATCTAGGTTATCCACATGACGTAGATAATGTATAAAATTTATCTGAACATAGTAGATAATTTATCGAGGTTATTTAAACGGCATAGATAATGTATAAAAAGTATCTGAACGTCATTTAAAATTTATCTAGGTTTTCTAAATGACGTAGATAATGTAAAAAATGTATCTAAACATAGTAGATAATTTTTCTAGGTTATCTAAATTTATCGGAACATCATAGATAATTTATCTAGATTAGTACTCAGATAACTTATCTAAGTTATCCAAGTAAGTCATATAACTAATCTAAGTTATAAAAAGTACTCAGATAACTTATCTAGGTTATCGGAAATCATCACATAACTTATATATGTTATCTAAAATACTCAAATAACTTATCTATGTTTATCTATGCTATTAAAAGTACCCAGTTAACTTATCTAAGTTATCCAAAGTTCTCAGATAACTTATCTTAGTTATCCAAAGTACTCGGATAACTTATCTAAGTCATCCAAAGTACTCGGATAACTTATCTAAGTTATTCAAAGTACTCGAATAACTTATCTCTGTTATCAAATGTGCACGGATAGCGTATATAAGTTATTCAAAGTACTCGGATAACTTATTTCGATTATCCAAAGTATTCAGATAACTTATCTAGGTTATCCAAAGTACTAACATAACTTATCTAAGTTAACCAAATTGCACGGATAAGTTATCTACATTATCCAAAGTGTTCAGATAACTTATCAATGTAATTCAAAGTGTTCGAATAACTTATCTACTCTATCCGAAACATTCAGATAATATATCTATGTCATTCAAAATGCTCGAATAATGTATATAGCTTATCTCAAATAATCGGATAAGTTATCTATGCAACACAAATGTCATAAATAATTTATCTATGTTATCTAGAATTTATCAAAATTATCCAGAGTAACCAAAACGTTGGGAAATTCAATATTTAGGCCCTGGAACATATCATAAACATTGTAAATAAATTATCTACATTATCCAAATGACCGGATAATGTATCTAAGTTATCCAAATGCAATGATTAACTTATCCGCATTATCTAAAATGTGCTTTTCAATTATATAAATGGTTTAAATGTGATAGATAATTTATCTCGTTTATCTAAAAATTATCTAAGTTATTAAAATTAGTCCAAATGACGGAAAATTTAATATCGAAACCCTGTAACATATTATAAACATCTCAGATAATTTATCTACATTATCCAAACGACCGGATAATGTATCTAGGTTATCCAAATGTTACGGATAACTTATCTGCATTGCCTAAAATGTATTTTTTGTTATCTAAATGATTTAAATGTCATAAATATATTATCTAAGTTATCTAGAATTTATCTAAGTTATCCAATATAACCATAATACTGAAAAAAAATTAAAAACGACCGGATAATGTATCTAGGTTACCCGAATGTTACGGATAACTTATCTACATTATCTAAAGTACATTTTTTAAAGAGTTAAATGATTTATATATCGTAGATAATTTATCTCATTTATCTAAAAATTATCTAAGTTATCCGAATTGAACCAAGCATTGAGAAATTAAATATTGAAACCTTGGAACCTTTTATAAACATTGTGGATAATTTATCTACATTATCCAAAAATTAATGTATTTAGGTTATCTGAAATGCCTAAAATGCATTTTTAATTATCTTATTGATTTTTTAGTCATAGATAATTTATCTGAAGTTATCTAAAATTTATCTACAGTATCCATATTAACCAAAATGGCTGAAAATGAAATATTGAAGCAATGGATCCATTTATAAACATTGTGGATAATTTATCTAAATTATCTAATGGGCTGGATAATGTATCTAGGTTATCCAAAAGACCACAAATAACTTATCTAAATTATCCAAAATGTATTTTTCAATTATCTATGACATTTAAAGCAATTAAATGTCTGGATAATGTATAATTTATCTGAAGTTATCTAAAAATTATCTATGTTATCGAAATTTGCCAAAATGAGGGAAAATTCAGTAATTAAGTCCTGAAACCTATTTAGGGAGGATCCTTATAATTGTTTTTTTGAAAAAATATTGCATTTGTGTTTAAGTGTAAAGCAACAAATATTATTTTTGTTAAGCATTTTCTACAGGTAAAGCATTAAATATGAGGCATTATGTAAAAACACTTTGGTTTTGGTTTGAGGCAAAAAACTATTTGTAGAAAAAAAATGAAAATATGAATAATCCAAAAATAAAAAATGAGACAAAAACAAATTGTAAAGTGTGTAGAAAAAATAAATGTGTGTAAAAATAGTTATTGAGTAGTTTGAAAAAAAATAATGGCAAGAAAAGTAGTCAAAAAGTAAGGGGACGGTTATATAGTATAGACGGAAACAAATGATGAGGAAACGCATTGGGCGTTAATTAGTGACGGCGGCTGCAGCAGCGCTTAGGCAGCGGCGGCGATTTAGATAAAGGCTTTAAGGCATTAAATAGTAGACGAAGAAGTTGCAGAAGAACGTATAAGGCTTAAAGACAACACAAAACGGAATTTCATGATTTTTTTGCACAAAGGACAACCAGGTTTTTTGATTAAGATTTTTTTCAATTTTTTGCAAGGGGTGTGGGGACAACTCAAATCCAAAGTAGAAAATCAAAATGTATAATTTTTTTTTGGGACAAAAAACCAAAACTGAAAACTGTAATACATAACAAAATACATAGCTGGAGAGTATAGCTGCAAAAAATTAAACTCTTACTTCTTTTTGCTTTTTCTTGCGACCATATTGCGGCTGAAAGAAGATTTAACAAATTTTGAGTTTCAATGGAGATGGGGGGGTGGGGTTGGTTGTTTTTGGAGGAGTGATGAAAATGAAAAGGGTGTTTTCCACAATGAAATTGTTGTTGTTCGCATGTTAGCGGAATGGCATAACCGAACAACGACAACAACCACAATAAATTATGATGACGCATATATGACGTTGTCAGGGAGAGGATAATTTTTTTGTTCGACGTCAATGTGTGAATGTACCGAAGAGCGGGGGGCGGGGTGGTTTGTTGCGAAAATGATTTCATCCATAAAAGAAAGAAACGAAACGGAAAAAAACAACAACAAAAAGGATACAAACATCGTTTCAAAATGCCACGCGAAGGAAGAAGTAGAAGTTTGTATTTAGTTTTTATTTTTGTTTTTGTTGTTAAGGAGTGGGGTGTTTTTGATTTTTTTTCATTGCGAGTATTGCCCAAGTAAATCAAATAGTTTTTGGATTTTTTCGCAGGGTTGTCATTGATTTTTTTGTTAGTAGTTGCGATTTTTTTCATTTCAAGCGAAGAAGGTTACAAGTTCAAAGAGAAGAAATAAAGAAATAAAAAAGTAGAGAGAAAGAGAAAAAAGAAATAAAACAAATATATATGTGAACAAGTAGTAGAAACAAACAATTTTTTTTTTTTTTTGTTAAGAATATATATTTTTTATTTATATAGTATTGGTGGACAGGACTTCGTGGAATACCATCATTAGCTTTGGTTTAATTTTCCTTTGTTTTCTCGTTGAGAATAATAGATTACGAATTTTTATATATATTTTTTGCAATGACATGAATGGATGGTCATGTTAGCGAAATTTGAAAACAAAATCAAGAAAAAAAAATACTGAACATACTGAAGGAGACTACTGAAGGCGCATTAACGTAAAATGTGATTCATACAAGAAATTTTGGATTTTTTCGATTTTTTGATATTCAACTAATGAAATAAATTTGTTTGAGGGTTAATCGACTGCGAACTTAAGTATGTTGTTTTGAATAATTTTATTCCGATTGATGCGATAAGAGTTTGTGAATGTGATTTCAATTTGAATGTCGCCTCATTGCCCAGATGAATGCTAATAAAAAATAGAAACTATTTTTTCTTATCTATTTATTTATTTACACTAGAGAGAAGAAGATGGATGGGTAGAGGAGAGGGTAAGCTAATTTGGTATGGTATTTTCTTACTGTAAATATAAGAAGAGATTTGTAAAATTATAGAAATAACTAATTTGAAATCTTGTCTTTATAAATAAAAAAATTATAAAATAAGTAAAAATACAATATATTATAAAAATAAAAAAAAATACTTATTTAAAAAAATATGTAAATATAATTAAAAAAATAATATAAGAAATATAACAAATATTTATAAAAATACAACTTTGTAACGGAATAATAAAGAAAAACATATAAATTATAATATTTTTATAATTCTTTTTAAAAATAAAAAATAAATAAAATTTAAATTAAACCAGTAAGGAAAGTAGTAAAGTCGGACTGGGCCGACAATATGATACCCTTCACACACAGACGAAGCGTTTTTGTTATATACCTATATCTGAACCGATTTCAGGGAAACTTGCCAGAGACTAATTTATATTACTTCAGTACGTTGTGTTAGTCGGCCTAGCTATGGATCTTTTCACGAAGCTTAGCAACATCATTCTAGACTTAATTCAGTACACTATACCGAAATTCGTGCAAATCGATAGATATATAGGGTCTTTGGTGCACCAATTACCTTAAACCCGATGGAAATACATATGGAAGCTATATCTAAATCTGAACAGATTTTCACGAAACTTGGCAGACATCATTCTCGGTCTTATTCATAACTCTGTGCCAAATTTCGTGCACATCAAAAGATTTCCAGGGACTTTAGTGGACTATTTACATAAAATCGGGCGAAGCTATATATGGGAGCTATATCTAAATCTGAACCGATTTTTGCGAAACTTTGAACACATCATTCGTGACCTTATTTTATTACGCTGTGCCAAATTTCGTGCAAATCGAAAGACTTATACGGACTTTAGTACACCATTTACATTAAATCGGGCGAAAATATATATGGAAGCTTTATCTAAATCTGAACCGATTTTTTTCCAATTTCAATAGGGTTCGTCCTTGGGCCAAATAAGTGACCTGTGGCAAATTTCATCCAATTCGGATCATAAATGCTACCTGTACTTTGTTTACAATTTAACATGGACAGACGGACGGTTGGACATGCATAAATCGACTCAGAAAGTGATTCTATGCATATTCTCAAAAGGAACTATGGGTCTATCTCGTTTCCTTTTACCTGTTACAAACATATGAACAAAGACAGTGTGGTGAAGGATTTAAAAATATAATTTATATTAAAATAATTATTTATATTATAGAATTTATTATTATAATTTAATTTATATTAAAATAATTTATTTTCGAAATATAAAAAAATATAAATAAAAGTTAAAAATACTTTTTATTTTAAAATGAAATATTATATATATATATATATATATATTTTAATTTTGTTCAGTGTGTTTTATAAAATAAAAAACTTAAATAAAAGAAGAAAATATTCATAAAAATTTAATAAAAATTAAAATATATTAAATGATAATAAAAGTTTTTGTATCATTTGTTTAATTTAAAATTAAATAATTTTTTGCCCATTTTACATTTAAGTAGTTATTTTTAATTCATATTTTTTTTTTTTTTTTTTTTTGTAATTTTGTACAAATTTTTAATTACATTTTTGTATGTTTGTACACGTATTTCTGGAAAAGCCAATATCTATCAATTCATTTTGAAAATAAAAACACATTTAAGACAGAGTAAAATTTTTATTAACGATAATACAAAAAAAAATAATAAAAAAAGTTTTTTTTTTTTGTAAAAAAAAGACATTAATAGTAATAAATACTATAGCAAATGAAATATATAATATTTAACTAGCTAAATTGCAGTCTACACTGTGATTACTTTCTCAAAAAGAAGAAGAAGAAGAAGAAGAAAGGATTTGGGGTTTTCCTTAAAATCTACATGGAAAACGAGCTTTGATATTTTCATAATTTTCAAAATTTTTCCAAATTCAAAATTAGGTCGCAAGTTCCTTTAGAATAATCTACAGTTCCTGATTCGGAAATAATCTTTCAAAATACACTATAAATAATATATCCTGAAAACGATATTTAAACAAATATTTGTTCCTTCTCTAAAGCTTTTAATAAATAATAAAATTGTAATATACCTTTAATAAAAACTCTGGGGTTTTTAATTCAATTTCTTGCGGATTTTAGATATTTGTGAACGATTTTATTTTTAAAGTCAGAATTGTAAATGGAAATCCAGTAGAAAGTGGAGTCTTGACATAAATTAAAAATTCTGCATTAAATCTGATGTTTTTTTATTAAAAAAGTAATTTGTTTACAGTTGATTTTTTTAATAAAATTGGAACCTTCTAATGGAAGCATTATATCAATAGGGTCATTGAAAAAATATTCAACTGTTACTTCTTTCACTGGTCCGTAAAAATTTTAAATTCTAGAAAAAGTCTTCAACCAAAGCCGAATCCGTTTAGTTAAATTCTTAAATATATTATGGACTTTTTATCTAATTTCTTGGGTAGAGGAAGTATTCAATACAATTGTAAGTAATTTGAAAAAATACAACATTTAAATACAACAACATCTAAAAATTTTAAAGTAACAAGAAAGGGTTGGCATTAATTTTATAATGAATAGTTATGGAAAAAGTTTTCCAATATTTGCAGGTCTTTTACTGGATTATAATTGTTCGTAGTCGAAAAGGAAGTATATTTCAATATAAATAGGGAGTTAGTAATCTAAACTACACCAAAGAAGATAAAAAACGATTAATACGATTTATTAAAAAGCGAAAAATTATTTTGAAAAAAAAAAACAATGAATAAAAAAATATTTAGTATATAAAAAATATATTTTATATGTATGCCAATATTAAAAACAAATAATAGATACAAATTTACAACAATTAAAAACAACAAAAAATTACATTTAATTTTATCATACATATTTCGTACAAATATAGTGAATAAAAAAATATAGAGCAATAAGGGAGTTATAATGATGTCTACAAGAGAGAGAGAGAGAGAGAGAGAGAGTGAGTGGTAGGGAAAGAGAATGATAACTAACTAGTTTTTTAAATTTTTTAGCACTGGGATATTTGGGGCCTCAGAATTACTAAAAATTCATAATAATAAAAAATGATGAGAAATAAAAAGAGAGAAAGATACGTGAAATTAATATGGAGAACTTTAAAATGAAACCGAGAAAGAGAGAGGGAGAGCTACGGTACTGCTGTTACGGAATTGTGAATAGACCAGAGTCCATAGAGCAATAGAGGCCTGGGAAATGAAATTAAAACAGAGCTATAGTACTACGAACATGCCATGATAAAAAGAGAGAGAGAGAGAGATGAGAATGAGAGCTATGGTATCACTATTGTGGAATGATAAAGAGAAAAAGAATTCAAAGAACAATTGAAGCCGAATTCAGACTGAATTCGTTTTTGAGATTTTAAAAGAGAAATACACTAATAAAGAGAGCAATGATTTTAAATGAATAAAATTAGATTTGATAAAATAGATCTATGAGAGGCTATGTCTTGAATGCCGAACATTCTTAGAAGCCCAATTGTTTTTATGAACTAAAAAATAGGTAGGCAAGACATTGCAGTGTTGGAAAGAAGATTATTAATGATGCAAATATATATGAAAAGAATTTCAATTTCTAAAAAGCTTTTCGAATTAGACACGAAATCTATAATCTATTGCAGAGCTGGGAAACAATGAAATAAGAAGTAAAAACGTCGTTAAGATCGTCCGAGCCTGAAGTTTTTATAACCTCCACCATATATTGGGCATGTAGAATACTTAAAGCAGAAACGAAATACCACATTACAGGCAATTTCGATGCAAAACGTGCCAAACAACTCCTAAATATCGAATATTGGGGGATAACGTTATATGGGTCAATATTAGTAATTGGGTCAACAATGTGCCAAAGCTCCCCAAAATACCGAATATTGGGTGGTACACATATATTGGGCCTATCGAGCCTATTGGGCCGATATTGATAATTTTTGCTAGGATGATTTCAGCCAATTCGGTTGAAAATCATGTTCAAAATCCCCAAAATACCGAATATAGAGGGGTACCGTTATATGGGGGCTACCCTGAAACGTGGGTCAATATTAATAATTTTTGGTATAGAAATGTGCTACACAATTAAAACCCAAAATACCGAATTACAGTGAATACAATTGGAAAATGTGTTTGTAATACCCAAAATTCCGAATATTGGGGGGGTACCGTTATATGAGGGCTACCCTGAAACTTGGATCAAAATTAATAATTATTGGCACGGATATGTGTAACACAATGAGAACCCCAATTGCGATGAAAAACATGCCGAAGCTCCCCAAGATATAGAATACCGATATCAATAATTTTTGGTAAGAAGATTAGTTATCCACTGATAACCCAAATTGAGGTGGAGGTAAAATGGGCATTGGGGGGACTACATCATGTATGATGAGATTTAATGGACGATTAATTTAAAGGTACACGTGTCTCTAATTTTCTCTAAGGGTCATACATATTTTTTACTACAGAGATGGGAAGTTGTTGTTACATGGGAATGACAAATTTCCTTTAGAAAAATGAGATGGAGATAAAAAATGGACGTATGTCGCTTATGATGAGATTTAATGGAGGATTAATTTAAAGGTCCAAATGCCTCTACATTTCTCTAAGGGTCTCAATATATATATATATATATATATATTTACTACAGAGATGGATGTTGCTCTTACGTCGATAACGACAAATTTAATATATAGAATTCCATCAGGGTGGAGGGTATATAAATGAGGTGGAGGTAAAAACAATAGGCCTGTGTATGATGAGAATTTAATGGAGGATTAACCAATATTTTCAATATTTTTTTACTACAGAGATGGGAAGTTGCTATATAAAAATTACATCGGGAATGATCAGGGTATCCTTTGTGGGGCTACAACCTCAAAGATAAATGATAATGGAAGAATTAGTGACCATATTATTTAAAATAAATAAAAATCTGTACTGAAATGGTTATGTATTCATTACAGAGATGGGAAGTTTAAATTAGAAAATGAATTAAACATTTTCGGAATAACAAAATAAATCTGAAATAATTTTAAAAATAAAGTTATGAAAGAATTTGTTGCCCAATATTGTCTGGTAAAAATAAAGAAAAATCAAGTGAATGAGAATTATGTTCTATAGAATTGGAAACTAACTACAATGAAGGAATAAAATTCTATGGAATGAAAATAAAATTATAAAAAAGGCTCTGTAAGGCCTTAAAAATTAAAAAAAAAGATATCCTAAAAATAAAATTACAAAAAATGGGTTCCTAAAGGTCTTAAAAATTAATAAAAAAAATGCATGGAGATGAAGAATGACTTTGAAATGAGGTTAAATTTTTCTTGAGTGGGGAATATAAATTTCTTCGGGGTTTTATTTTTGTTATAGAAAAAAAGCTTTGCCTTTTTGTTTCTCATTTCAAGACTTGTTCTGGTTACCAGGAGAATCAAAGAAAGGCCATTTACATTCCACATTTAGGATTAGTAGATAATAAGTTTTTGGTATTTTTTTGGTTTAGTTGGTTTTAGTAGAAAAGAAATAATACAAGATTATATATATTTAAATATATTTTTTTATATATAAATAGAGAGAGAGAGGTTACAACATATCACACACACGCACACTGAAATTTGTTATTTAGTTTGAGGCGGCTCGGGGTTTTAGTTTTTTTTCGTAATATTTAAAAATCAAGAATGGAAAATTTTACCCACAAAATAGAAAAAAAAGTGAAACCAATTTGCCAATTGGCCATCTTAATATTTACCTGCTCTCCTTCGGCGGCTCTCTTTCTTTCCAGCTCCTTTTGTTTTTCATGTTCGGCGATACGTTGTTCGATTTGTAACAATGATTCGCGGGTGAAGGGACGGAACAAACTGCGTTCTTCCTCAGATATCGAGTCGGAATCTTCTGTCATTGTCTATGCGGCCAACGATGAGAGCCTCAGATTTCCAAGGCCTGATTTTTGTTTGCAATTTATTTTTTTTTCAAAAATTTTTTTTTTTTCGAAAGATATTTTTTTTAAATTCAAAATGATTTTTTTAATTTCAAAAGGGAATATATTTTCAACTCAAAAAAAAATTAAAATGAAATTAAAACTTTGACACTCTTTGGTTACAAAAAAAAACTTCAAACTACGAAAAAAAATTGAAACACAAACTCACACACACTTACATGAGGCACATGTATGTCGCCTGCTACGTCAAAGTTACAACTATATCCGAGGCGCCATTTTCAAACAAGCGCCCACCACAGACACGTATTCTGGAAAGAAAAAGAATGGAGGGGGAAAATGAGACACAAGAAGAAGCAGAAAACATATATAAAATTTCAGTGAAAATGAAGAGAGAGAAAAAAAACACAGAGGAAACGGAAACAAACAAACAACACCATTAGTTTTAGTTTTTTTCTGTCATCATTCTCCCCCCTTCAGGGGGAGTGAGTGTAGGAGTGTGGGTGTTTTTCAGGATTACATGAATAATAAAAAACCCCCATACAAAACCCATCTTTTAATTATGAAACTATTTACAATAAAAACAAAAAAAAACCCATAACGATGACGTTTTTACTGAAAAGAAAATAAAAAAAATAACGACGATGATGATGCCACACGGACAAAAATTCCTTCCCCATCCCTATTTTTGTGTGTATGGGTGTGTGTGCGTATAATTGTGTAACTAAATGAGTATGTGTAAGTGTACTCAATTTTGTTACGATACAAGTATCTAAATGAAGTATACCTGGCTGGCATGTCCTTCGAGTATTTGTTTTTTGTCTTTTATGTGACGTTTAATTGTTATTTTAATTGTCAAAATAGACACGCACATAGACACATGTACACACACACACAAAAGAGTTGTCAAGGGATTTTTTTCCTTATTGGCTTTATTAGTTTTAATAAACGAGGGAAAATATATATGATAATTATAATGAAAACATGACAGGACCCTTGACAAAATGTCCTCAAAAAAACCTACCTTCCTCTATGGACCTACAAAAAAATTTTGTTTCGAAAAATTCCAATTATTTTAAGGACCTCAAAAAATATCATTAAAAATTCTATGTGTGCCAAAAAATATTAAACAAATATTTTTCAAATATTAACATTTGTCAAAGGACATCGAAAATAGTTTTAAAAAAAACCTACATTTGTCAAAGGACTCTCAGAAAATATGTTTCAAAAATCTAGGTTCATCAAAGGACTTCTGAAAAAACTTCATACAAATTTACGTTCATCCAAGGACCTCTAAAAACACTTCACATATAACCCCAATCGTCAAAGCACCTCCAAAAATAAACTATTGTTGAAAAAAAGGTCTGTTCATCAAAGGACATCGAAAAGGGATCGAAAATCCAAACACTCATCAAAAGGACCCTAAAAAGTATTTTTCCAAAAAAAATATTTTTTCCCAAAAAAAAAAAAATCAACGTTCCTCAAAGGACCTCGAAAATATACTTAAAAAAATCTATGTTTGTCAAAGGACCTTCAGGAAATATTTTCAAAAATCCAGGTTCATTAAAGGATCACTTCACAAAAAATCCCAATAGTCAAAGGACCTTCAAAACAAATAAATATTGTTGAAAAAAAGGTCTGTTCATCAAAGGACACCGAAAAGGGATTGAAAATCCAATCACTCATCAAAAGGACCCTAAAAAGTATTTTTCCAAAAAAATATTTTTTTCCCAAAAAAAAATCAACGTTCCTCAAAGGACCTCGAAAATATACCTAAAAAATCTATGTTTGTCAAAGGACCTTCAGAAAATATTTTCAAAAATCCTGATTCATTAAAGGATCTCCAAAAATATTTCATAAATATCCACATCCGTCACAGGTCTTTCAATAATCCACGTTCGACCAAGGACCTCCAGAAAATATAACAAAATTTTTTTCCCATTTAATGGGCCTTGAAAAGAAATTTTTTTAAACATCAACGTTGCTCAAAAAACTCCAGAAAAAAAATTTAATATATCCATGTCCTTCAAGGACCTCCAGAAAATATAACAAAAAATATTTCCCATTTAATGGGCCTTGAAAAGATATATTTTTTTAAAAAATCAGCGTTGCTCAAAGGACTTCGGAAAAATATTTTTAAAATATCCATGTCCTTCAAGGACACCAAAACATATTTTAAAAAAAATCCATGTTCATTAAAAGATCTCTAGGAAGTAGTTTTAAAAGATAAAAATCAAGGTTCGTCATAGGACTTTTAAAGAATCTACATTACTCAAAGGATATCGAAAATATATATTTTTAATTTGTTAATAATCTTCGTTCTTCAAAGGACCTTCAGAAAGTATTTCCAAACATCCAGGTTCGTCAAAGGATCTCCAGAAAAAAAAATATACTTAAAATGTCCCGTTTGTCAAAGGACCTCGAAAGGAATCGCAAAAAATAATTTACATTTGATGGGACATGAAAAAAAATTTTAAATCCAAATTCCTCAAAGGACCTCGAAAGGATATTTTCAAAAAACACTCAAAAAATATTTTTTAAAAAATCGACAAAAATTCCTTCCCCATCAAAGGACCTAAAAAAATATTTTTAAAAAATCCACGTTCGATAAAAGATCTCTTAAAACCCTTTTGATAACCTTTACCACTTTGGCTATATTCAAGAGATGCATCCTAACAGATCTCGCATTTTTGTGTCTAAATGTGAAATACGTATGGGATCTACATCTAAATCTGATTTGTATAAAACTTGGCATTCGTTACGTTGTTCAAAATTTCGTGCTAATCGGCCTAAATTTGACTCCTTGGTGGACCATTTGCCAAAAATCGGATATATATATATATATATATATATATATGGGAGCTATATCTAAATCTGAACCGATTTGTCTAAAACTTAGTACTCGTTAGTGTATCCAATCTTCAGTACGTTGTGCAAAATTTTATGCTAATCGGTCTAAATTTGACTCTTTGGTGCACCATTTGCTAAAAATCGGACGAAAATATATATGGGAGCTATATCTAAATCTGAACCGATTTCAATAAAACTTGACACACGTTAGTCTATCCGAACTTCAGTACGTTGTGCAAAATTTTATGCCAATCGGCCTCAATTTGACTCTTTGGGTCCATTTACCTAAAATCGGACGAACATATATATGGGATCTATATCTAAATCTGAACCGAACCTCAATAAAACTTGACACACCCTAGTGTATCATAACATCAGTACCTCGTGCAAAATTTCGTGTCAATCGGCCTAAATTTGACGCCTTGGTGGACCATTTACCAAAAATCGAACGAAAATATATATGGGATCTATATCTAAATCTGAACCGATTTCAATAAAACTTGGCACACCTTAGGCCATCCTAACTTCAGTACGTTGTGCAAAATTTCGTGTCAATCGGCCTAAATTTGACTCCTTGGTGGACCATTTGCCAAAAATCGGATGAACATATATATGGGAGCTATATGTAAATCTGAACCGATTTCAATAAAACTTGGCACACACTAGTGTATCCCAACTTCAGTACGTTGTGCAAAATTTCGTGCAAATCGGCCTAGATTTGACTCCTTGGTGGACTATTTGCCAAAAATCGGACGAAATTATATATGGGACCTATATCTAAATTTGAACCGATTTTCCCGAAACTTATCACATATCGTTCTAGACGTACTTCATTACGTGATGCTAAATTTCGTGCAAATCGAAAGTTATATAGGGACTTTGGTACCCCATTTACCTTAAACCGGACGAAAATACATACAGGAGCTACATCTAAATCAGAACCGATTTCCACGAAACTTTACACACATCTGTCTAGACCTTATTCATTACGCTATGCCAAATTTCGTGCACCTCCTTTTTACCACAAACCTACTCTCCCATAGTGATCCTAAATCCAAGTTTCAGGATTCCAATTCTATCGCTTTACCCACAATTTAAATTGTACAAAATTTAGTACACTTAGTAAAAATTTCTAAAACTTCCTACCCTACATCCCTACAATGATTGCAAATTCAAATTTTAGGATTTCAACTTTATGGGTTCACTCACTCTCTAAAACATTATACATACCCCAAATCTACATCTCCACAGTGATCGAAAATTAAAGTTTCAGGATTCCAATTCTATCGGTTCACTCACAATTCAAATTGTACTAAATTTAGTACATAGCAGTATCAATTTCCAAAACTTCCTACATACCCCAATTCTACACCAAATTGTACCAAATTTAGTACGAATTTCTAAAACCTCCTTTTTACCACAAACCTACTCTCCCATAGTGATTCTAAATCCAAGTTTCAGGATTCCAACTCTATCGGTTCACTCACAATTCAAATTGTACTAAATTTAGATTTAGTACTTTTCGTACACATAAGTAACAAATTTCCAAAACTACGTTCATATCCCAAATCCTACACTCTGACGGTGATGTTAATTTCACATTCCAGGATTCCAGCTCGATTTGTATCTCCAAAATAAAATTTGTACCAAATATCGTACCATATAGTACTTTTCTCTTTCACGCTTTCAAAACCATGTCATTAATTAGGCCCTAAATCTCAACCCTTATTCGCATTCCAAATTTCAAGTTTTTAGCTCTATCCATTCACATTCTACGAAATTGTACCGAATTTAGTACATTTTAGTACTTTTCGCATACTTATAGTTCGAATGTGCAAAAAATCCTTTGATATATCTAATCTACACTCCGTCAGTGACTTGAATTTAAAATTGAAGAGTTCTAGCTCCACCGGTTCGACAAATACAAAATGGTATCACATTTAGTACTTTTCGTACCGTTCTAGTATGAATTTTCAAAAAACCCAGCTTTATATTGGTCACCTTTGGACCAAGAGTGACCCTCACCCGAAAATTTTAAGATTCTAGCCTTAGACGTTTCGTCTGGGCCAGTCCGTCAATCACTTTACTCTTCTATTAGTAAAGATTTAAAAAAAAAATCCCGGCCTTTTTCAATGCCTTAAGAAACATATGGTCCTCTGAGACGCCTAAAACTATGCACCACACATGCAATAAATATTAAATAAAATATTACGATTGATGTGGATTATAGCCAATATTGGCAAATATGATATGCTATAATTAAGAAAAAATATATATTTATTTATTTATTTACACCCAAAGGATTAAATATCCTTTATTGTCGGCTCACGCTTCCCTCTCTCTCTTTCTTGTGTCCTGAACAAATAAAACAATTAACTTCACGATGAATGGGTATATCAGTCGGAATTTTAATGAATATTAATTAACTATATGACACAATAAAATAAAAAATGAGAGTCAAATGAACTAGATATTCAC